GTTGTCTTTAAAGATGGAAGAGACTTGAGCATATCTCTGCATTAATGGGGTAAAGGTAGTAAAGAGGAAGCAATTAAAGATAAACAATAGTCACAATCTAGAAACAACTCAACCACCTGGAAAATGGATAAACAAAGAGTGGTGATCCATCTAATAGAACACAACTCAGTAATAGAAATGGACAACTGCCAGTTTGGGTGGTGCATGCCTATAATCCCAGTGACTTGGAAGGCTGAGTCAGGAGGATCACAAATTTGAGGCCACCAGGCCAGCCTCAGCAACTTAGTGAGATGTATCTCAAAATGGAAAAAGGGCTGAGGATGTGACTCAGTGGTAGAGCACCCTTAGGTTCAAGAGAGAGAGAGAGAGAGAGAGAGAGAGAGAGAGAGAGAGAGAGAGAGAGAGAGAGAAAGAGAAGAAAGGGAAGGAGGGAGGGAAGAAAGGGATGGAGGGAGGGGGGAGGGAGGAAGGGAAAATATTCTCTATCTTGGTTCTGCTGATGGTATCATGGGTGTCTTTGAATTGTATAATTTAGAAGAATATTCTTTACATAAATTGTACTTCAATAAAACTGATTACAAAAAGACACAGAGGAAGGCTCCTTGGGCTCCCCTGGCCTGGATGAGGGAACAAGATGAAGGCAGAGATGATCTCAAGCCCATTCATAGACAAGGACAGTGCAGACAGAAGAGAGTGGTTAGCTTCCCGCATTACTGCCCCCAACACAAAGACTTCTTCTAATATGTACATTCTCCTCCATTCCCATGAGGTCAACTCACAGCTAAAGAATGGCGACTCCCATTGTGCAACCTGAGCCACATGTGTGCTATCCAGGAAGAATGTTTGCAAGGTCAGACTTTTTTTTTAACACCTCTACATTCAGCCTGCCTTCAGCCTGGTTGGTATTTCTGTCACACAGAACCCCTTGGCAGTAAACTGGCTGCTGTGTGCCGAGTCTGTTTTCTTTGATTTCTTTCCGTGTCCCTTTAATTGCTGGCAGCTCCAGAAGTAATAAGAAGGTGGGAATAAAGGCTTAGTCAGAAGGCTCCAAGCTGGGAGTAGAGCCTGAAAGATGGGGATCTGCAAGCACCTCTGTGGTTATCAGCTCCTTTATTTAACCACTTATCAGAGTGTATCAGACAGTATTTTGCAATAACGAAGACAGAGCCATAGCAACCAGACTACAAAGAAAAGCACAGGCTTCTGGAAATGGCTGAGAGTCTCTGAAGAGATGTTAGCATTTTGCAGCTTCTATTTCTTTTTGTGTTTGTTTCCATTTGGTAGCCACTGGAGATACACTGAGTTTTCTTTACACACCCCCAAAGTAGGGAACTTTTGATTTACCACAGCTGAGTGAGTGGGCCTATGATTGGAATTCTCTAGCTATTAGAAATACTAAATTGAAATCATTTTTCTCAGTCATTAAAAATAACCTTCTTGGAACATATTTTCTTAACTGTGATCTAATATCTGTTATTTTTTACATTAACAATAATCATTTTATCCTTCTTAAAAAACAGGAAGTTGTGATTAAGTAAGAGGAGCCATAGTCCCCCCCCATCTCCCTTCTTGTCCTGGCACTAGGCTAGTTAACTGAAAGTCCTTCACCAGAGGTGAGTCTCTTGTGTAAAATGAAAGCTGATCGGGGTCTCTACCCTGGAGTCACAGTTCCTGCAACTTCTTACTGTAGCCACTTTAGCTTTTGCCAAAAAAAAAAAAAAAAAGTGAAACACCCCCCTTCCCCTGAAAAGGAAAGGATAAAAAATGTGACCATCCCTGGAAGGTAAGCATGACACTGTATTGTCCATCTGGAGCTCACCCTTTAATAAATAAAGTAGATGTTTATTGTCCCTTTTCACCCACAAAAACATGCACTGCTCTGTGTTTAAAAGTGAAGAGGAAAGCCAAATGTGGTGGCACATGCCTGTAATCCCAGTGACTCAGGAGGCTGAGGCAAGAAAATCATAAGTTGGAAGGCAGCCTCAGCAATATAGCAAGGCCCTAAGCAACTTAGTGAAACCCTGTCTCAAAATAAAAAATAAAAAAAGGTTGGGAATATAGCTGAGTGGTACACTTACCTAGCATGAGCAAACCCCTGAGTTGCATCCCCAATACCACCAAAAAAAAAAAAAAAAAGGCTGGCTGGTAGGCAGTTGTGTTAACTCACTCCATTAATATGAAGTGAACCTTCTGTGTCCCAATTGTAGGAGGAAAGACATGTAAATGATGATGAGGATGGGAACAGGGGTGAGCAACTAGAGGCAGTTGGGAGAGCTATTTTTCCCAAAAGGCCTTTAGCCTGGTAAAGGATAAATACCAACAACATATTTTGCATCAGGAGGCCACACCCTGATCCACCTTCAATCTTTAGGCTGGATTTGGTTAGGAGCTCACAGAAGTGATGGCACAGTAAATATTTACAGTTTAGAGATGGAGATGCCCTGAAGTCTGGACTCCTGGCATGCTGGAATACAGTGTAGAGTACGCAGGGGTTCTAACTAAGAATCGAGAGTCAGGGTTTCTATTCCTTCTTGAGTCACTACATGACCATAAGCTTGGTCCTGCCATGCAATTTTCTGGGTCTTTGTTTTCATTTCTAAGTGCTTCCTAGATCACTAATGTCTGCAGAACATTTAAAATATAAAGATTCTCTTAGGGCTAGAAAGAAGGTGCCTTAAAGATGAATCAGTGGTTCTCAGGCTAGAATCCCCTGGGACTTATTAACACTGAGATGGTTGTTCCCCACTCCTAGAGTTTCTGATCCAGTAGGTATGGAGCAGAGACCTGAAAATTTCATCTCTCACAAGTTTTCCAGGGAGAATGATGCCTCACCACATGTTGCAATTCACTGAGATAAACTAACGAGTTATTCCCAATCCACCCTGGATAGTCATCAGAATCACCTGAAAATATTTAAATAAATATTTTTATTAATATTTTAATAATATTTAATAATATAATATTCACCTGAAATTATTTTAATGACAACTGCCAGGACCTCATGCCATGTGTAGTAAATCATGGGTCTTAAATAGTCTAGAGTCTTCTGTGGAGCTCTAGGTCGGGGCTATCATGGTGAGTGGGCCAGAAGGAGCAGGAACAAACTCCAGGTCAGGAATCAGAGGCTATGATGATGGTCATGGGAACCATGACCCAGGTCATCACAGATAATGTTTATTAACTACTCAGTGCATTTATTTAGTACCTAAAAGGTGACAGAAGGAGATATAATGGGAAAAGAAAAGCAGCCTTTGCATAGAGATGCTTGGGGAAGAGTTGAGGAAACTTCACAGAAAGTTCCAGATAGCATCAGTGTTAGATTACAAAGTTTATTCCTGTATTCTTTTAATTTTTCCCAGGATAAAATCTAAATAATAATAAGAGCTTTTCAAAGAAAAATTATGTGGCATGAATTCCTAAGGAATTAAATTCAATTTACTGATGTCTCAGCATTAAACAGGTCCTTAGATGCCATTTCAAGTAGTACCTGATAGAAGGCTTGCTCATCGAATATTTACTTGGTGGAACAGAGAGAAGGACCTGTTATGTTCCCTGATAATTACTTCTAGGCCAGCATCCTACAGCAAAGACACAAGCCTCCATAGCTCATCTTATTTAAAGCAACTCCTGCCAATTATTCAGATATTTGACTTGGGTTGTCTATTTGACCTTAGATCATCTGCTAGAACAAAATCCATCAGCAATTAGGTTCTGTCTCTTCAGGAAAAAAAAAGAGCAGGCATTCATTGGCAGGCACAAATAAAATAAGTATAATGTGATAAATCTCTGTAATGCATACTTTAAAAAATTTTCCAAGGGTTTACTTAACTTGGGACAGCCACCTTATCCTACCTTCCAAACTTGCAATAGGACTAAAGCTCTTTAATTGTCTTGTATACTAATGTGATTGGTGCGATTATGTAACTAATGACATGACTATTTGGAGAATTGTCCCTGCCAACAAACATCATTTTGTAAAATTTCTTTCCAAGAAGAATGCAACTTCTTTGAGGTCTTACTCTTACATGCTTTATGTCCTTGCAACATTTAGCTGTTGAACACACATTGTGTTCATAATTTTCTTTCATTTTTTATCAAAGGAATACACAACAGACTCCCTGGATGGTATAACTGGTTTACTCAATAGTCAGAAAATAGTGCCTTGAATGCACCATTCAAAGTGCATTTGCCTTGAATTCAATAATGTTATCCTTGGGTTTTTCTCGAATCTGATTCACTCTCTTCTCAATACAGTTTATTCTATGGCCACAGAATAGAGTATAGACATCATGTTCCTCACCCACTAATGGAGTCAATCAGGGCCATTTTACTACCAATATGTAACCCATAAAATCATCTTATAATCCCCAAATAAGCACACAATAAAATTTATATATAACAAAGGTGATCTGGGTTTGAATCTCAGCTCAAGTTTGGGTGTCTGATGACCCCAGACCAATCAGTTAAGCTCTTATAGCCTCCAATTCTTCATCTGAGAAATATTAACAGCCTTGTCCAATTTAGCTGTGTTTTATCTCTCTGATTTGATTATTCATAACAAAAGCAAAGACATGGGTTTCTATCCTTTAGTATACTCCATGTTACCTGATGAGCTCCCCATTAAGCTGATAAAATACTTCAAGAACTAGTTACAAGAAGGAAAGTCTAGGTGTGGTGATGCACACCTCTAATGCCAGCAGCTCAGGAGGCTGAGGCAGGAGGATCACAAGTTCAAAGCCAGCCTCAGCAACAGTGAGGCCCTAAGCAACTCAGTGAGACCCTATCTCTAAATAAAATACAAAGTAGGGCTGGGGATGTGGCTCAGTGGTTGAGTATTCCTGAGTTCAATTCTTGGTACCCCCCCCCCAAAAAAAAAGAAGAAGGAAAGGGACAAGGTAAGGAGGGACCACTGAGTTTAGGAGAAATGTAAAACTTAGAATTTTTCCTTTTTTCTTCTATTTTGTATTTTCTTTGCCAGAGGACAGGGAAAAAAAAAAAAAAAAACAGTGATGCTCCTGAATGTCAGCAGGGAGAATAGTGTTGTACAAGCCTATGAAACTTGAAAGAAGCTCAGAGACTTTGGAAATCTCTTTGCCTGACAACCTGTGGGTGTGGCTTCTAGGCTCACAGTCTTATTTTGTCCATCTCTGAATGCACAAAGGAGTACCTGGTGGTGAATTGCATTTTGTAAGTATTAACAGATCCTCACAAGAATCATGTGACTTGTTAATGTTTAAAATGTGACTGTTGTGTCTATCTCAGGCCCCTGGAAGCTAATTATGGAAAGACTTTTATTAAATGCCACGGACTAGACCATTTCCCTGCCTTTCTTGTCAACTGGTCCCATGTGGAGGTTACTATGGGCAACACTCCCTAGCAAAGGAGTAGTCATGTCTGCAGCCCTGGAGATTCTAGTAGCAACACTATTGTGCTCAGAGACATGGCCCTCTGGGATTTCATCCAAGCTGTAGAAAGACAGCCTGGGAGTGTGTTGGGGGGGGGCAAGCATTTTATAAACAAAACTAAAAGAACAGGGTGTCCATTTACAGTGCTGGGAAAAGAACCAACAAAGACTAATGAGTTGGACAGATCAGCAAAACTAATTTTAAGCTCCAATGTGCTGAAGAATAATTGTGTGTCACCTATACAGAGAGTCATTTTGAAGTCATTTCTTGGGGCCACTTTGCATGCAAAGTAGATTTCAATCAGGATGCAAGTGATATGAGAAGCACCAAGGTCATTTTGAAGAACAATGTTATGTATAAAAATGAATGCTCAAGCCTGACATGACAGCTCATGCCTGTAATCCCAGTGACTTGGGGGGCTGAGGCAGGAGGATCTCAAGTTTGAGGCTGGCCTTAGCAGCTTAGCAAGACCCTGTCTCAAAAAAAAAAAAAATAAGTAAAAGGCACTGAGGATATAGCTCAGTGGTAGAGCACTCTTGAATTCAATCCCTAGTACCAAAAGAATATATTTAACCAGGAGGTTGGTGATGCTTGTCTTGGTGTAGGAATCACAGAGCACAGTGGTGATGAGAAGTTTCAAACTCTTTTGGTTGAGGATGGCTTTGGAACAAAACTAAAGCAATATGGAGAAGGAAGAGGAGAAAGTGCAATAGTGGCATTTTCTAGAAGCAGAGCTCACAACTGGGATTTAAGTGCATCAGAGTTATTAGATGTTTCTCTTAGTGCTCTCAGGAGAAAAGGAGAGAGGCAAGGGTTTGGTCTCGGCTGAGCTTCAGCCTGATTCATGGAGCCTCTGCAGCGTGAAGGGACCATAGAATTGCATGCTGAGGCAGGAAGACGGCTGCCTTTGGCATATCCCCACCTGAGTACTGCAGGGAGGTGGGCAGGTACATCAACCTCCCAGACGAGGTGACTCCCTTTGGTCAGGAGCAGTTCTCCAGAGAAGGGAGCAGCTGTGAGTGCCCAGAAGCTGGGTGAGGACGTGTCAGAACAATAAGGAGGACCCACTCTAGCTGCTTACTTAGAGCCATTAGTTCATTAGTGGCAAAGCCAAGACAAAAACTGTCTCTCAGCCTAATCGTAGCCATGTCAAGTCCATATTTTATAATGGCAATACCTACTCTTATGCCATACTTTATAAAGCATTTTCAGGGCTATTACCTCCTTTTGAACCCACAGTAATTCTGGGATATAAACAAGGGCAGATATCTGTGTGTGCATTTCTTGAATGAGGACACGGAGGCTAAGAAAGTGATCTGGCCCAGGGTCATATATTTGAAAATACCATGGTTGTGACTAGAACCCTGTTTCCTGGGATACCACCATCAGAAGAGCTATTTAGTAGCTGGCCACCATTTAGCCCTTAATGCTTCATGTGTGCTGAGCATAGGCTCATCATTGATTTGTTTTTGTCCTTTGTCCCTCTGATGCTTTGGCAGTTGTGAGTCCCTAACAAGGACCCCCATCTGAGCAGAGCCTCACTCAAGGAATATTTAAGTTCTTTGTCATGTACATCAGCTCTGGTGTGGAGTTTCCAGTTTCTATTTCTAACTTTTGATACCCACTCTTAGTAATAAAAGCAAAATAATCTATTTTTATAAAATGACTCAGATGTCTCTGGAAACATTTTACAATGCTTGGAATGTTTTGTTTTAATAATTTCCGATCTGTATGCAATAAGGCATTTCAATGCAAGAACAAATATGAGATTGCTCACTCTAGTGGAGTTCAAATTTTGCTTTACACTTTGCTTGCATTTAAATTTAATCAGAGTTGATCCTCAGATGAGTTGAATTTGTTACAACCGCCTCAGCTATTTGCTTATTTATGGAGAGTGCTCTCTGCTTTTCATCTTATCTCCCTCCTCCATTTCCTTAAGCCTCAAAAACCTTTTTATGATCTAATGGTTTCCTGCACTGACGTCTGGATATCCAGAGCCTGCTCCAAATTCTGCCATGGAATGTTCATATATTTACTGAGGTCACTGGCATAAGGGCATTGTGGAGTTGTAGAGTCACAAGATATTGGTTCCAGACCACAGTCCACCATGTACTGACCTTGTGAGTTTGTAGCAAAAGAGAATGTGGGTGTTTATAATTGTGTAAACCCTGTACCTAGAAAATATAATTTTTATATCTATTGTAGCAAAATAATTGTAGATTTCTCAAATGTTTGGTTACAAAAATGTTTACTGCTACAACTCTGCAAGAAAAGGAATTGCTTAGGGACTCATGGGGTGACAGAACGTTGTGTGTACCCCCATTCATATGTTGAACTCCTAATTCCCAATATGATAGTATTCAGAGGTGAGGCCTTTAGCAAGTAATTAGGTTTGGGAGGTGAGGGTCATGAAAGCGGAGTACAATGATGGAATTAATGTTCTCCTAACAGCAAAAAAAAACCAAAAAAAAAACAAACAAACAGAGCTCACGTACTCCACTTTGGGTACACACCCACACTCTGTCTCTGCCATATAAAGGAGGATACAGCAAGAAGGTAGCCATATGCAAGCCAGGAGAGTATCCTCACCAACAATTTTAATTTTGGACTTCTAACCACCCAGTCAATGGCATTTTGTTTTAGCAGCCCAAACTGAGTAGGACATATACAATAAAATAATATGTATTCATGGTTCTCATACTTGAATACAGGTTGGAATCCCCTAGAGGGACTGTTAACTAAAGCACATATTCATGTGTTCCCCTTCCGTCACCCCACCCTGAAGTTTTTGATTCAGTAAATCTAGGATGGGGTCCAGGAATTTATATTTCTACTAAGTCCCAAAGCAATGCAAATGTTGCTGGTCTGAACCCTACTTTAGGAGCAATTAATATATAAGAGCATCCAATGACATAATCTCTTTATATTGCTTAAAAGACAATTGATGTGGGCTGGGGTTGTAGCTCTGTGGCTCAGTGGTAGAGTGCTGTCTAGCATGTGCAAGGTTTGATCCTCAGCACCACATAAAAATAAATAAATAAAATAGAGGTATCGTGTCCAACTACAACTAAAAATAAATATTAAAAAATTGATGTGACAAAAGTACTTTAAATCTAGTTTTGTATACCAATGTTTTAAAAGTTGAAAAGTGGTTAACTGAGTTATCCTGAATGGCGGGATTATGGGGGTGGACATTTTTTGCCTGGGTTTAATCCCATCTCTAGTTCTCATCTTCTATAATATCTTGAACAGATTAACTAATCCACAGCAGCCACAACTTCCTTGCTTACAAACAGATAATGACGCATACCTCAAGGGGTTATTTTGACTACTAAGGGAAATATTGTAATATTTCTGTCTTTATTTAACAAATATCTTTGGAGCCCCTACTGTGCCCTGAGCACTGGACAGGGACTGGAGGTAAAATAACGAAGACTCAGTGTTTTGACTTCATACAATTGTAAGTCTATCAAGGAAAAGACATTCAACCTCCCTCATGTTTTTTCCCTGTACATATTGTATTTCAATGAAAGCACATCTTAAAATGATTACAAAGGTATACACTTTTGGATTCCTCTAAAGAGCCAGTCCCTCCAGTATAATCTTATTTAAACATCTTTTCAGGAACAAAAATGTTGTATGAAGTGAGACAGGGGCTCCTCACAGTTTGGGCATTTCCTAGGCCTGTAGGTGTGGCTCTGTGTCCCCTGGGTGAGGGTTATTCCTGTTTACAGAGGGCCTGGAGGAATTTCCTGACAATCCCCAAACCCCTGCCCACAAAGGAAGGCTGGTTCTTTACTGAACTCTTCATGTGCAGCTCTAGAGGGAAAAGGGCCCTGCTCCCACCCACAAACCCAGAAGTAAGTGCCTCTCATCCTCTCAGTGAAGGCACTGGAGGCAAATTTCTTGATCCCACCCTGTTTAAAGGAGAGCTTGCTGAGGCAGGAGAATTGGGAGTGCAAAGCCAACCTCAGCAACTTAAGGAGCAACTCAGTGAGACCCTGTCTCTAAATAAAAACACACAAAAAAGGCTGGGCATGTGTCTCATTGGTTAAGCACCCCCTGAGTTCCATCCCCAATACTCCCCCCCCAAAAAAGGAAAGTTTGCATATCTGATATCCTTGAGACTTGTTGTCTGGAAGCCACCAACACTGTGGAGGACAACACTTCCAGTATCAGTTTTCACCCCAGTGATGTGTTGTTGATAGGGAAAGTCATTGGGGCTGTGGTCATTGAGCACAGTGGGAGAGGCCCCCAGGATATGGTTATCACAGGCAGAGCCTCACCTTCTGGGCACTGCCCTTCTGGACCTCCCTCTCAACCAAATATCTGGCTTTATCTTTTGATAATGCAGGGTGTTTACCTTACCTGCCTCTGTACCCCTGAGGTCCCATAGGTAGTGGGTGTGTTTTACTGCCCTTTTAATCTCTCGGCCTTTAACTATAAAAAGAAAGAAGGAAGAAGCTATATCAGCCCTTTAAACAAAAAACCCCAAAACCGAAACCATAAAACATTAAGACCAAAAAAAAATCAAGTAATTACTATATTTTAGAAGGAGATCATTTTTCATCAGGTATCTTAGATTTCATGTTTTCTGGAATTTATCAAACTTCTGGAAGAAAGTTGTAAAAATGCTCACCAGATGTCACTGTGGAAGGAAGGGAACACAACTCATGTGGTATGGGTCAATAAAAACCAACGTGGATGTAAATACTATGTTGTTGCCATTTATGGGACTATTAATATCTAGGTAAAACTATGGTGAAAAGGACCCCATGTGGTTTTGTGGAAGACAGAGTAGGCTTTGCTATAGGACTCTAGTGCTACAACTAATGATTAAAAAGAGAAAGACAACTAGCTTAAGAATTCATTTTTTAAATTGAGATACAATCCATAGACCATAAATTTCATCCCTTTAAAGTATGTTCTGAAAGTTGTGCAATAACCACCAGTTTCTAATTTCAGAACATTCCATTGCTCCAAAAAGAAACCTCAAACTCATTAGTAGTCCTTCCCCATTTTCTCCCCCCCACCCACCGCAACAGCAATGACTGCTTTTAGGGCAATGAAACTACTCTATGATTCTGTAATGGTAGACACATGCCATTATTCATTTGTCCAAACCTATAAGATGTATAACACCAAGAGTGAACCCTGATATAGGTTATAATGCAATAATGATGTGGCAATGTAGGTTCATCAATTGTAAACAAAGGTACCTCTCTGGTGGGGGATGTCAATGACAAAGGAACTATGCATATGTTGGAACAGAGGGTGTACTGGGGACCTTTATACTACCCTCTGAACCTAAAACTGTTCTAAAAAATAGAGTTCAGGGGCTGGGGTTGTGGCTTAGTGGTAGAGCGCTCACCTAGCATGTGCAAGGTGCTGGGTTCGATCCTCAGCCCCACATAAAAATAAAGGTATTGTGTCCAACTACAACTAAAAATAATATTTAAAAAAATAAAGTTCAGCCATTTCTGATTCCTCTTTACTGTCTTCTGAAATATTCCTGGGGGAAGACAAGTTAAAGGATCCCATTTATTTGTTTCTTCCTTCAGAGTTTTACCAGTTTTATACTCATTTTTAGTAATTTTAAGAGGAAAAAGGACTGCAGGCCCCTTTCTCCAACAAAGAGCATAATCTATCTCTTCCTGATTACCAGGGCTTTTATTATCATCAAAGAATTTTGCCCAGTAATGGCTGGCCCGATGTCACTGTAGTTCTCTTGACCTTTTCTTTACTTTGGGGGTAACAAGTATCATTTCTGCATTTAAGGCAGGAGAAAAATGAGAAACATGGAAAGGGACACACTGGCTGGCTTCATCTCTTTTTATCAAGGAGGCAAAAGCTTCCAAAGAGACCTGCTTCTGCCTCACTGCCCAGAATCAGGTCATGTGGCTCCTCCTAGCCATAAGAGGGTCTGGGGAACAGAGCTGAGCATACTGCTACTGCAAACAGAACTGAGATTATGTTAGCATGAAAGAAGGTAATCAATGGATATTGGAATGCAAGTAATAGTATTTGTCATCCACATTCCTAATAACCAACAGCTATGAGGCTCTCAATGTGATTTGAGTTAATGTATGTAAAGCATCCTTTTCAGTTAGCATCCAGTGTAGAATGGCTTTTATAATAATGATAATGACATTTATTATAGCAGGCCCTTTTCTCACATATTTTTTGTTTGATCTTAAATCAATTCTGTAGAAAAGTTAAGTCTTATCATTCCCACTGCACAGAAGAGAAACTCAAGACTCAGAGCACATCTAACAATGTGGACATGGTGTGCACAGAATGTGAGTATGATTCTTCTGCTTCTAAAGCCTGTGTTGAGAACTGTATTTCTTTCTGCCTGCTCAGTCAGCAGTGGATGCTGAACCTTCCCTAAGGTCACAGGACTTAAACTACTAAGAAATGAACAGGGCAACTAGAGTTGAGAGCCCATAGAAGACAGGCTGTGTGTGGTTTCCTCTGCTTCAGATGGCCTGGGGCTTTGGGGTTTCTTTATTGCAATATGCTAAAGGACATTCTGGCTGCACTTGTGGGCTAGCAAAATGTCGACTGAGGAGCTGTGGCCAGCTGTGGGAAGTCACACCCCTCAAACCTCAGATTACAATGGAACATTAACAAATAGTTCACTGAAGATTTCAGGACTGTAATCAAATGAGGTGCTGGGCAGAGAGGGGGCCCATCTTTGCCTTGGGTGCATGGCCAAAGCTTGCTTTTAGAGAGATAAATCTTTCAACACTGGAGTTTTCTGTTGGTTGCTGAAGCTTTTAATGACATAGGACTTTTGGGGGAGTTATAAGGGAATTTCAGAGACCATGACCTATAAAACCCCCTTCCACTAAACTTTAGACAAAATGTCTTATGTATGACCCTGTGAAGAAATGTTAGACAATACTTGGAAATATTCAAAAGGATAATAGCTTGTCCTTGCAAAGTTATAATGCAGCACTATCAAGCCCATCCAAGTTGTTTCATTCTCTAGGAAGATACATCTATGTTTGACTTACTATTTACCATTGATTAGGACCAGGACTCTATGAAAGGAGAAGTTAATTTGTAGTTTGATAAGCTGCAAACAATATTTAGAGAGTTGCAAATTATTTCTATTTGGTAAAAAAAAATAAACAAATGTCCCTGAAAGTTAGGCTTATATTTCCTTGAAGCATATAAAAGTTTTGTATCTATCTTTGCAATCATATTTTAACATTTTTTACTGACTATAGATACATAAGTCTGTCCTACACCCTTGCTTCCTTGTTAATGAGTAAAATATGTCTTTGATAACTGCTCACCATATATTTGTATAAAGGTCACATTTCTACCTTTTCAAAATTTGCTTTGGCAGCGTCTTAGCAATTCTTGTAGAGAGAATCAACTACAGTTTAAGGAATTTAGCAATGTGAAGATTATAAAGTGCAAAGAGGAAAATCCCACTGGGAGTATATGTGCAATTTAACTTGATCCTGGCCTTTGGCTGTTCATAAACACTGCCTAGAAGCTGTTCCTCATGGTGTATTGGTGTTGGACTAGAGAACCAAAGCAAAATAAACAACATAATGCAAAATGAAAAAGCCCTATGGAAATGAATGGATGAACAACGAAATTATAATTTTAGAAGTAAAATGGAATCTGGTAGTTGTGGCTGCACAGTGAGCATCCTTCTAGCTTCTAAATTCTGTCTACTGGTACTGTCTGCCCATGCCCAGAAACTATTTTCAAGGCTATATGTACTGCATGGAATTTCTGGTGCAAAGAAAACCAAGCTTTATCAAATATATGTTAACCTGATCTCTACAACAATCATTTCCTCCTCCAGAGGAGAGGAGACATATTATAAAGACCCTAAAGACAGTGCCTTCTCAAATCCAGACAACCTTTACTGGTCCCACCCAATGCCTCCAATCCATTGATAAGGACTTGCCTGAGATCCGATTCTAGAAACACTTGTTAGGTATAGTAATAAAGGATTACAATGACACTTATTTATTTTTCAACCAGCTTGGTAATGAAGCTGACAGTCTGTTGACAGACAAGGATATTTGTGAAGTAAAGCATGCATTTGTGTGTGTGTGTGTGTGTGTGTGTGTGTATTAAAGGGCTCCTGCTTGAAGCCACTCTTCAATTTGGCACTTCCCCTTTAATGTAAACAGAGATCATGGAAGATCCATGTATTTTGGTACATTTGTTACCAGAAGAGTAACCATCTAGACCACATCATCAGAGTTTCCTTGCAATCCCTGGCCACAGATCACCCCTGCTAGGCCAGTGGGAGGGGTAGGCTGAGAGTGTTAGAAGAGTTGGTTTGTTTAACTCCAGTAGTTTTACTTCTCTTGGCCAAAAAAATGACCCCCTAGGATTTCCACCAGATAGGTCACAAGAAAAAGCTCAGGGATAATCCATGTCAAACTTCTGTTGTACATGCTATGTGCAAATAACAAATGCCTTTAAAGAGTAAGTCCATATGATGATATGGTCATTGACATCTAGAATCCATTTACTGTCATTGTCACATCCTGGGCCCTCAAATAGTTTGCCTTTTGTTCAAAGAAAAATACTATATATATATAGTCATAGGGAAGGTTTTTATTTTTGGCATTTCTCAATACAAGGGCCCTTCATCTCACTTATTAAAAATAATATTTTATGTATTATGTTATATGCCTAGATATCAACTGAGAGGAGATCACATATGTGTCAGAAGGTCTTTGCATTGTGTTTGTTGTAAGGTACTGGATTTGTTGTGGTCTCTTTCATGTTCTCATATCACTATCCCACTGATGTAGTAAAGCTTATTTCAAAAAGGACATTAGATTATTCTGGCATTACTTCTTCCAGAAAGCCCTCACTCGATTCTAATGATTCTATTAGAATCTCAAAGCCAAATCTTTGGTAATCATATTAGACACTTATCCATTGGTCAACAGTCTTCAGAAACTGAACTCAGGTTCAAGAGCTCAGATTAAGTTTCCTCAGTTTTCTAGGATATCTCTTGTCCTACCAAAGAGACTTAAAAATATTTACAAACAGTAAATAGTTGAAAAAAATCAAGCCATTTTCAACTGTGTCAAATGATTCTCACCAAAACATAAGCTCTCCCATCTGTCTCTTAAAGTAATATTTCCCTATAGCTCTTTGAAACATTTCCTTCTCTTGCTTAGAGATATAAACTTTCCTTGGTCTTTATTAAATTGAAATAAACATGTTAGTTCTTCTTTTTGTTTTTCTGATTGAGAATATCACCACTGTGCTTCTTTAACAATTAATGGGTTGAATAAGATGTCTTTGTGACTTGCTATATACTTCCAAGGGATAGTATACTGGAAAGTAAAAATCTAGTTTCAAGAATGGCATATTTGTCTTAAAAAGGAAAAATTGATCATATAATAACATCTGGTATAAATTCTGACTCCTTTTGCAATATCATTCTTCACATGACTCAATTAAGAAAAATAATTGTCTCCATTTTGTTTTATTTCCTTTTTTTCCCCACAGCACGCAGAATACTTACCAAGAGCTGCTATGTCAAAATGATCTGGGAACCGGGTAGTTTGGGGAGCTTTCTATTCACCAAAATCTCCTAGCAGCTTTCATTTCCATTTCTAGCACTGTAAGATGAAGGAGTAAAACAAACCAAACACTTCACATTACCATTGAAGTCTTCTCTACTCTAATTAAATTTGTACTTCAGTGAATTCTTCAAGTCTTAACTTTTCTGAAGAAGCAATAGAGGTTAACACTCTTCTTTCAAAAAACCTAGACCCAAAGTCCTTTGTAAGTTTTCTCCAATACTTAAGTCCTACATGCCTTTCTGTTTGGTTTCTTGGGCTCTGGGCTTGTGATGATATTTACTTTCACTGCCAGAGGACTACAGGCAGATTGGAAGAGCTGGCGTGAGAAAGTTAAAGAAATTCTGCTGAGAAAGAAAAAGTGGAGAGATAAGACTTACCCAGGACAGAGACATTTCATGAGAAAAGTGTTTTAAGCCAAGAAAATTAAGATTTAAGGCTGAGCTGGGCATCTGTAATGCCAGGTAGTCAGGAGGCTGAGGCAGGAGGATCATGAGTTCAAGGCCTTGGGAAACACACTGGACCCTGTCTCAAGAAAAAGAAAAGAAAAAAGCCTGAAACTGAGCCAGGACTGGGGATCCAAAGCTAAAGGGCTTTTTATCCAGTTACCAAGAAAGGTGTGCTGACAGTACTAGATTTTCGGTACAGAATGGAAAGAAAATAGCAGTAGCAGGATGAAACAAAAATGTAATTCATCTTGTCATACTTTTATTGAACATCTACTTTTTATGAGTAGGCAAGAGAATAAGAACAAGGGAGGGTCACTTCCTTCATGTAACTTGCAACTTAGTTTGCATAACTGCCTGTCCTGTACTTCAGAAGTCTGTAGAAGAACAACTCGTGCTTCAAACTGAGCCAAACTGAAAGACATAAAACTAACTATATTGTGTATCCCCACAATTCCATCATACAAGAAAAGTGGTGTTCATTCAGGAGAAGTTTTTTTGTTGTTGTTGTTGGGTTTGTTTTTTTTTTTTTTCCAGGAGACAGTGGGCCATGTCTAAAGAGAATTTTATTTGATATAACTGGGAAAAGAGAGGCTTCTAGCATCTGTGGGTAAAGGCCAGGGATGCTCCTCAACATCTTGCTGTGTACAGGACAAACCCCACAGCAAACCCTGATGTGGCCCAATATGTCTGGAGTGCCAAGGCTGAAGAACCTTGCACTAGAGTAAATGGCTTTGCACACTTTCAGCAACTGATCAGGCGTGGCCACTGCTTCCTGTGTAGCTTGACGCATTATGGGGATGAGGGTCATGATACAAGAAAAGCAAATGGGGGGAATGCATGAGAAATTCCACCATTCCTTTGGCCACTGCAGCAGAAAGTTACCCAAGCTGCAATGAAACAGCTCTGGGAGTTTTTTGTTTGGATAAATTTCATCAGAGTGTGCACTCAGGGAATACCTGCTCCTCTAAAATTAGTAGAAGCCAAACATCATCAGATCAGAGGATAAATCAGGTGCAATGAACACCATAAAACTCTTCCTGAACTAAACAGAAATGATTTACACATCATGTATGTCCCTGCCAGCTCCCAGCAGTGTGGCTAATTGAGAATGAATATTATCTCCATCACAGGTGGACATTTGAAGGGCAAAATTGGGTTCTGAACTATAGTTGCTTATAAGTAAACAAACAAAAGCCATATCATGTTTGTGTGTATTTTAAGAAGATTATATGCATCAATTTACTCCAAAACATTCATCATTAGAAACAAGTTAAAGATGTGCCATTGTGTGTCTTTTGTGTGTGTTTATGTGCGTGTGCACACTTGTGTAGTTTTAAAACTAAATTTCTTTCTAGTCTATGAATTGGCAATGAAATAGACATTGAATAGCTTGGCCTTTATTATTGCAGATTTTCTCACTTAGAGTTCTTCTTGCCCTTTTTCTTTTTTGATTTCCTCAGGATGCTGTGCTTTTATTGTCAGGCCACCCAGGGATGTCCTAGATCATGCAAGGTGTTGTGACATAGGCTTGCATTCTTGGGAGCACTACCCTCTGGCTGGGGAAGTACTGGGAAAAGGTCAGGGTAGAGGAAGCGCAGATGTCAGAGATCTAAGAGCTTATGTGAAGCCCAAAGCAGCAGCTGTGGCCCTCCCCCATCTCTTCCTCTTTGGACAAAGCCTTTATGTCTCACTGTTCCTATCAAAGGCACAAGAGAACACAACAAATTACCCAAAGAAGAGTCAAATGATGCTCCTTCCATCCTTGTCTCAGGTGTGTTGGCAAGGTCCCAGCCAAGTTGTGCCGGGCCTGTAGGCATCCTTCATTCAGTATTTGGCTCCTTAGCCCATCTCCTGAAGCAGCAGAGTGTTGGGAGTGGTCCCGAGTCAATGTTATTTTTACTGAGCATAAAGGCTGTTCCAAAAGTAATTATGATTCAGATGTTTCTTACTGACCTGCTCCCAAATACACTCATGGGGCAGAAATAAATTAATTTTATAGGGTAAAAGATACTCTGGCTAATAAACTTACTCCATGTATGTAATCTGTCAGATCAACAATTAGATGATGGTTTACAGACATCATAAAAAAGGAATCCTAGGCTTGAAGCCCTTGTATCTTGTTTTAAGTTTGTGCTATTAACAAACTTTAAAAAGGGGAGAGATATATATGGATGGGGACTTTGGAGAAAATTAATTTTGTGACTTGGGAGGAATTTCCTTAAGTTAAGGCTGTTGAGGTTAAAGGTCATGTATATGGTAAAACTGGAAGGGAACCAGTGCCTGGTGTGGAAAGAAAGAGCCAAAAGCAAAGCAAGCTTAGAATATCTAACAGAAAAAGAAGAACTGTGCATAATCAAAAACCAAACATGCATTGTTAAGACTGCGTGCTATGGAGATAAATTCTGCATTCGAAACAATTTCTGGGTTATGCATTGAATTCCCCCATGGAAAAAGAAATCCATCTACATTCTTGTAACTGTAATATGTACAAGCCAAAAGGGCTAAAGGACTTTGCCACAGCCCCTATTAGCATAGTTATTACTAGAATAAAAGCACATAGTTTAGGAAATTTCAGTAAACTGGTCAGAATATATTTCTTCGCAGAAAATTACCACTTACATTTCCAAACCCTTGGTATGGATACGGTCAGTCTTTGGAGCCAAAATAAATAAATACAAGACAAGGGTCCACTAAAGGAATTCAAACAAATGGGAAACTTAGCTACTTGAAGTTGACACAGGAAGTTGATGGTTTCACATTCACAAACCAAATAGCCCTAGGAAATGAGAAGATATCATATACTGAAGGCAGCCATGAAAAAACATTTGCAGAACACCTAGAACAGCCCCCAGTGCACAGCTTTGGTTTCCTTTAAAGCTGTCATCATAAATTCAGGAAATCTGGAAGTCTACTCTACGTCTGATGTTGTACATTACACAACTTCATGAGAATGTTGCATTTGGCAGGGCTCATGTTACTTTAACACAGAGGTCAGCAAACCATGGCCTAGGAGCCAAATCCTGTCTGCTGCCTGCTTTTGTACAGCCTGTGAGCAGAGAATGATTTTTATGTTTGTAAATGATGAAAAAAATAAGCAGGAAAATCATATTTCAAGACATATAAAGATGAATTGAAATTTCTAATTCATTGTCTATGAATAGTCTGTTTGGAACAATGTCATGCCCAGTTGTTTCCATATTGTCTGTGGCTGCTTTTGGACTCAAAGGGCAGAGTCAAGTAGTTGTGATGGAGATTTTACATATGTCCTGCAAAGATGAAAATATTTACCATCTGGTCCTTTATAGACAAAGTTTGCCAACCCCTACTCTAATGTATAAAGTCAGCTTAATATGAAAGTAAAAGCACAAACAACTATATGTCGAAAAAAAAGAAGAGGAAGGCACTGTTCATTAGTCGATTGTCATCAGTGGCACTTGAGCCTCTCCCACACATCTGCACCCACTTGCATGCCATTCTGGCCAGGAGAGCAGCCCTCTTCATCATAACCTTGTCATCCTTCCTGGTGTTCCATCTGTGCTAAGCTCAGGTGCGGTTTGAAATCTGATACAAAGGTTGGAATTAGTTCTTATTTTAGCTGATTTAGGTTACCTAGGTTACACAAAAATAGCTGAAATATCCATATAAATGAAAAACAAATGTATACAGAGTTGGAGCAATCAGTTTTCAGAAGAAAGAGAAATGTTCCTTTTGACGGAACCCCCCATTGCTAATGAGCTTCCTGGTGCTAAGTGAAGGAAAGGAGGAAAGGGACTTTTGTGGGTCCCAGCAGGACCTTCAATCAGTCAACTGAGTAGAAACTTTTATTGATCGCCTGTAGGCCTTGGCAAAATTCAGGGTTGCCTGTCGTTCTGCTATTTTGAAGTTCAATTGGTATTTTGGTAATAAACTCTCATCTAACTTTACAATGGTAAGAGAATGATGACTCTTGGGGTTATCCCCATGATATGTTTTGTTATTTTTCTGCACATTTTGCCCCTTGAACTCTGCTGAAAATTAGCTTCAGAGCATCAGAAATACCATCATTTGATGCAAACAATTATATAGACACTTTGCTGCTCCAAGTGGAGTCTTTGGCCCAGCAGAGGTGGTACCATTTGGGGGCTTGTTAGATGGGGACTTTGGAGAAAATTTATTTTGTGACTTGGGAGGAATTTCCTTAAGTTAAGGCAGAATCTCAGGCTCCCAGACCTGCTGAATCAGAATGTACATTTTATTAGGATTCCCAGATTGTCTGACTATCTGCTAATTTTTGAGAAGCACAAGTCCAAGAAAATGTACTAGACTCAGGGTTTTGAAAATCCAGTTCCAGATTCAACTGATGCTAATTCACTGGTGACTATGGGCCCGTTTCTCACCATCTTTTTGCATTGGTTACCTTCTCCCTAATGTAAGGCTAATTTTACTGACTTACTTCAAGTTTCTATAACAAAAACCGAACACACTGGACAGCTTATGCAACAAACATTTATTTCTCATATTTCTGGAAGCTAGAAGTACAGGGTCAGGGTGCCAGCATGGTCGAGTTCTGGTGAGGATCCTCTTCTTGGTTGCAGATTGGCTCACCCAAGCTCACAAATATATTTAGTTGCAAAAGGGGAATTTCTTCCCCAAAGCCATGTTTTTGCCCTTGCACTACACCGCCTCTACAATACAATATAGAAGATGGCAACCAGTGAAATGATTGTCACAGATGACAGTCTAAAAATTCCTTACACTCAAAACAAAAGCATGACATGGTTTGATTTTTTTAATATACAAAAAAGAAAGACAAAAGAATAAAGAGAAGTTCCCTAGAGATTAATGGTCCAATATACCAGAGCACACACACCAACTGGAATGTGTTACCAAAATGGCAATCAGTTGTTTTTTTGTGCTTTTGCTTCTTGTAGTTAAGTAGGAAGCACTGATTGATATATACAGAAGACAATGAGATTTCCAGTTTCTTGTCTTCTGAGACTCATTCTATTCCTTACTCTCTAAAAGAGTTGAGGGCTAGGCTGTAGCTCAGTGGTAGAGCCTGGCATGCAAAAGACCCTGGGTTCCATCCCCCAGACTGCAAGAAGAAGAAAAGGAAAGAAATGGGAAAAAAGGAAAAAAAATTGTTATAGTTGAAGGAAGGTTGAGAATTAACAATAGAAAGGTACAAAGCTGACTGTAATCTTAGAATTCAGTTTTGAAATATGGGAGAATGGATATGTTTTGTACATTTTGCAGGATCTACTTAGATCCTTTTGGCAGCAAAATCTTAAAGCTTCCAAATAGTCCTAAATAAATGATTTAAAATGTGGAGACTTCTTGAAAATCCTCATATTCTTGACTTTAAGCTAATGTTTATATCTTGTTTACTTTGTGCTGAGAATAGTTCTAAGAGCTTTTCAAATATTAACTCAAATATTAACCCTACCATCAATTTTTTGGCAGGTTGTCATATCTGGATTATGATTTATATCTAGATTATGATTTAGAGTAATTAAATTATTATTAGTTAAGGAGGCACAGAGATGTTAATAGCGTCCCTAAGATCACACTGGTAGTACCTGGTAGAACTGGATTTCAGAATGAAGTAGTTGGTTCCATACTCCATACTCTTAACCCCTACCCTACCCTAGAGAGCCTACTAGTAAACTACCTCCCAGGAATACTTTTTTTAAACTTTGGTTTTAATGAAATCATATTAAAAATATGTCTAAATTAGAATCTGAAGATTGCATTGGTAAAACATTGGTGATTCCTTCCTAATAATAATGAAGAGAAGGAGGAGGAGGAGGAAAGGAGGAGGTGGTGGAGAGGAAGAGCAGGAAGAGGAAAAGGAAGAGGAGAAGGAGGAAAAGGAAGAAGATGAGGAGGAGGAGGAAGAAGAGAAAGAGGAGGAGGAGGAAGAAGAAGAGGAAGAGGAGAAGGAGAAGGATGAGGAAAAGAGGGGGAGGAAGAGGAAGAGGAAGAGGAGGAAGAGGAGGAAGTTGTTTTCTTAGTTTGGGAGAGTCTATGCTATTAAAGACCTTGTAAATGAAATCACTCAACCCACTTTTTTGTACCACATATTAAACCCATTAATCCACATGCCCATCCATTTTTTCTTTTGAGACAGAGTCTCACTAAATTTCTCAGGGCCTCACTAGGTTGCTGAGGCAGGCTTTGGACTTGTAATCCTGCTGTCTCAGCCTCCCAAGCTGCTTGGATTACAGGTGTGCATCACTGCATCCAGCTCAACCTACCTTTTTAATACAGAAGGTTCTCAACCTGTGAGGCCAGGTCCCAATAAA